ATATATATATATATATATATATATATATATATATATATATATAAATAAATATAAATATATAATCAGGAGCTTTCATACCTGCAGAGACTGCATCTGGGCATGGTTTTGTAATGAGTAAAACCATTTTTCTAAATGCTCCATGAAAGGCTGAGCATCCAATTCTGGGCATCAGAATTCAGATCAATAGTTGGTATCAGTTTTTTCCCCAAAGGTGCTTGTTCAAAAGGCAACTGGACATTGTTTTTCCTTGAAGTCGTTTCCCTTTTTATCCGAGAAGGTTCTTCAGTTCTGACTGTCAGAACTGACAGTCACGTGACCATGGGGATGCTGCAACAGTCATCAGTGTGAAAAAGGGTCCTAAGTCAACTTTCTTCCGTGCCGTTGTAACTTCGAACAGTCTTTAAATAAACTGTTGTAAGTTGAAGACTACCTTCTCAACTAACAACCAAACAAATTTCTATTGCTAAGTGAGAGAGCTGTTAAGTGAGTTTTGTCCCCTTTTGTGAGTGAAGGCGAATATTCCTGTCCCACCATAATGTTGTAGGATTCAACCTCAATCGGACCAGAGGTTTACTCTTCCAAGCTTTCGGACTCGTGCCAGAGCTTCATCTTCAGGACATTTCTCTCGAGCAGAGCATGTGCTTCTTCTGTGTAAATATCACACAGTGCATAAATAAATAACACACACGACTTGAGAAAAGTTCCCTTAAGATGGGCTCTGGCACGAGTCTGAAAACTCGGAAGACAAAACTTCTGCTCCCAAAGATTGACCCAGATTGGATCCTGTCCCATTTTAATTTCTTCGCTGGTAGGGGAACGTAAGGACCCTTGTTGCTCTCGGAGGAGCTTGGTTATGTTCAGTGGTGGGGTTAAAAAAAAATTACTACCAGTTCTGTGGGCATGGCTTGATGGGCGTGGCTTTGTGGGCGTGGTGGGGGAAGGATACTGCAAAATCCTCATTTCCTCCCCATCCCACTAACCTGCTTTCCAGCTCCGTTCTCCTGTGCAGGGCAACCAAAGAAGACCCAGCCGATCAGTTGGGACTCAAAGGGAGGCAGAGAAGAGATGAGGGCAGGACCAGTCAGAGGTGGGATCTTCCGGTCCTCTGAACTACTCAAAATTTCCATTACAGGTTCTCCAGAACTGGTCAGAACCTGCTGAATACCACATCTGGTTATGTTCTTGCAGATGTTTCATTACCAACCTAGGTATAATAACATCAGTGCTGGAAAAGATAATAAGAGAGAGCAAACCTCGTTCCCTTCTAGAGCCGATGATGTCACCTAGTGTGGTCATGAAATGTCTGCAGGAAAGCCAACAAGCTCAAAGAGCACCCTACAAATAAATCAATAAAATATCTAACAGCCACTGTGGGAACAGAAAGCCAAACTAGATAAGCCTTCCATCTGGTCCAGCAGAACATTTATCCTATTGGGGAGAAAAAAAGGGTCCTTCTTAGCCTTCCCTTTGAAAGGATGCAGTGGCTCAGTGGCTAAGACGCTCTGAGCTTGTCGATCAGGAAGGTCGACAGTTCAGCAGTTCGAATCCCTAAGCGTCGCGTCACGGAGTGAGCTCCCGTCACTTGTCCCAGCTTCTGCCAACCTAGCAATTCGAAAGCACGTTAAAAAATGCAAGTAAAAAAATAGGAACCACTTTGGTGGGAAGGGAACAGCGTTCTGTGCACCTTCGGCGTTTAGTCCTGCCGGTCACATGACTACGGAGATGTCTTCGGACAGCGCTGGCTCTTCGGCTTTGTAATGGAGATGAGCACCGCCCCCTAGAGCCGGAAACGAGTAGCACATATGTGCAAGGGGAACCTTTACCTTTACCTAGCCTTCCCTTTGTGGAAAATGTCATAAGAACGAAGCTTGTTCCGCTCCGTCCAAAGCCAGTCTGGGATTAATTCGGCCTCAAGACAGTGATCTCATCGACCACGGATGGCCCTGGATGAGCCAAGCATCATTCCGCTCTGTACATTGAGGGGGTTTTCAGGCCTTTTGTTTAAAAAACTGAAGGGCCTTATAAATATTTATAGGAGGGTTCAGAGTAAGAGGATTTCGACACACACACACACACACACACACACACACACACACACACACGCATAAACTCGAGATACTCATCAAGAAGTAGATCGTGAGCCAACTGATAAAAAGCAGAAAGGGAAACAACCGACGTTGGGGAGGGACATAGACCGTACGGCCTTCAGCTTGTGCTTCTGGTTCCCACACTCAGATTTTACATTCTTCCAGGAGCCCCACATGGGCATAGCCAATATTTGGCAGCCGCTTGCCTGCCTTTTTTTTCAGCAGAGAGAATCCTTCTCCTCACACATAGGTTTGTTTTCGGAAAACACGAGGACTTCTACAGTGCCTTCCCCACACCCCAAATAACCCAAAGCAACCCACCCCCTCCAGGGATGGGCTGCTGGGGGTCCAGGAGAGCCCCCAGCTAAGATTCTGTGCAGGTTGGAGAACCCCCAAATCTCACTCCTGGCTGGCTCTACCTACCCTGCTCCTCCCCCTCCCAGGAATCCCCACATGACCTGTTTTGGATGCAGATAAGTGCAGGATGTGTGCGGAGCCTCAGGGAGGGCGAAATATGGGACTCCCAAAAGTTCAGGAAGGCTGGAAATGGTTTCCGGTTTCCATTTCCGGTTTCCAGAAAACCTCCGGAGTCCGGGGAGGGCAAAAACGTCTGTGGTGCAGGAGGCCGATTAGGCCCTGCCCACGATGGCCACACCCACCCAGCAACCGGGCAGAGAACCAGTTGAGGGCTAGTTGAGGTTGAAATGTTTGAAGCCCACCCCTGCCCCCCTCCCTCAAAAGCTGGAAAGGTTGTCCCTCTCTTCTCCCCTCCCCTCCTGTCACCCTCAATCAGGGATCTGTGCAACCCTAAGCAGCCTAAAACAAAGAAATAATTCAGAAAAGTATAGCTGCAAGAACGGGGAAGTTGCTCAGTTATGGCGGATCAAATGGCTTCTCCCCCAGGCTGATTCTCCCAGGCTGGGCCCTCGCATTTCCCCATCTGTCTGGAGAACAGAAAGTATGACTTGAGGTTTTCAGCCAAGCAACAGCCCCCTTCTCCTGAGAGAAGTTAATTTTGAGCTATCATTTCTCCCTGCACGGGAGAACATCTGCCTTGAATTATCGTTCCTAGTTTCCTGTTTGTTTTGGGGTAGGTTAGACATGGTGGCCTCCACTCAAGGTCCTTCCCCCTCGGGTGGCCAGCTTTTCCCACTTTTCAAAATACAGTTCACTTGGGACTATCACGTCCAGCTGGAGATTTCACTGCCAAGAAGGGCCAACTCAGCAGGAAAAAATTGCTGAGAGACCTCCAGCTCAGCAAGAGGGGTCATCGATGGCTTGAAATGGGGCACAAGTGTTTATTTATTTTATTGACCTTGAGAGAGACGGGATGAGGAAATGTTGCCTAGAGAATAGTCAGATAAGAGAGGACATAGACCTGAGCTGCATAATGGAAGGGGAGAAAGCTTTGTGGAGCTACAAAGAAGAGGGGAGTCAACTTATTTTGCAAAGCACCAGAAGACAAGGCAAGAAATAATGGATGGAAACTAACCATGGACAGGAACAACCTGGAATTAAGGAGAAACCTCCTAAGAGCGAGGACAATTAACCCGTGGAAGAGCTTGCCTTCAGACGTTGGGGCTGCTCCATCACTGAAGGCTTTTAAGAAGAGACCGGATATGAAATGTATAGGGTCTCCTGCTGAAGGGGCTGGATTAGAAGACCACCAAAGCTCTATTGTGATTGAAGGAGACTCAGAAAGGAGCCCGCTCTAGTGAGCCTGTTCAAGAGACACTAGATCCGAGGTGGAATTCAGCTGGCTTTGACCGGTTCTAGAGAACTGGTAGCAGAAATTTTGAGTAGTTCGACGAACCGGCCAATCCCACCTCTGACTGGCCCCACCAACCCCATCTCTTCTCTGCCTCCCATTGAGTCCCAGCTGAGTCTCCTTTGGTTGCCCTGCACAGGAGAACGGAGCTGGAAAGCAGGTTAGTGGGGTGGGGAGGGAAGGGGGATTTTGCAGTGTCCTTCCCTTGCCACGCCCACCAAGCCATGCCACGCTCACCAAGCCACACCCACAAAACTGGTAGTAAAATTTTTTGAATCCCACCACTACACTGGAGGATTTATACAATATTTTCAAGGTTTCAGTGAAGGTAAAAATTTCCCTGTCCAGTCGCACTTTAGGGCACAGTGCTTATCTCCGTTCCAGCCAGCATTGTCCGAAGATATTTTCTGTGGTCATGAGGCCAGCCTGGCTATATGCCAAAGGTGCACAGAACGCTGTTACCTTCCCATCGAAGTGGTACCCATTTCTCTGTTTGCATTTGCAAGCTTTCGAACTGCTAGGTGGACAGGAGCTGGGGCGAGGAACTCACCCCATCACGCAGCACTCAGGTCTCAAACCGGGGCTGTCAGCTTTCCACCTGACAAGCTCAGGGTCTTCAACTGCTCCCCCCCCACTCCACCCCTGCCCTTCAAAATTGCAAGGTTCTGTTAATGTAGCCTTAACACTAAAGAGTGTTAGTGTATCTGGTCATGTTTCCTGTCTGGTTGACCTTTGGGTGTCGACTCTTGCTTGGGGCTGCTGTGCTTTTCTTTTGTATCATTCCCAGTTCCTGAGAATGACCTGCTTACTGGCCTTTTGCAACAGTGCGTGAAAAAGCCCTTGGGAGGTAGGCTGAGGAACCCTCCCTAGCTTCTCAGGTGGTTAAGGAGACCCTGGAAGATTTGTAGAGCACTTTGAAAGTTGCAAGGTTGTGTTACCGTAACCTGCCATAAAACAGTGTTGGTGTTTCCTGTCTGAACTACCTGGGAAAGCTGAGATCTTTAGATCATTCCTTTTGCTTTGGCGGTGCTGTGCATTTCCGTTGCACCATTCCCCGCCCATGGGTTGCTTTTCGGCAAGAGCTACCTGCTTTCCAAAAACTTTGCACGCCGTACACATTACTCTTTCTGGGAACCATCTCCTGCCTAGCAACCCTCCTGCCCTTTCCCACCCTCTCTCCTCCCCAAACATTTTCTCCTTGCCCTCGTTCCCTCCCCAGTGCAGTTCAAACCTTGGCACCGAATTCTCTTCTGAAGTCTTGACTCTCCCCTGCGCTTGGCAATAAATATTCCCAGATCAAAAGCCGCGAGCCAGCTCAGAAATGCCAGAAAGCAACTTTGGGTAAGAAGGCTGATTTCATGGAGGGCCTCAGACATCCTTTCCAAGAGGAAGGATTTAGGGGAATTGTTTTAAAGAGCTAAACAAAAGCAGAGCAAAATACAGGTACTCCTTGACTTAAAACAATCCGTTTAGTGATGTTTGTAGTTACCGCACTGGGAAAAAGTGACTTACGACTCTTTTTCACACTTGTGACCGTTGCAGCATCCCCAGGTGGCCATGTGATCAAAACTCAAAACACTTCACTGTTGTAACTGAATGGTCACTAAACAAGGCAGTTGCTAAACAAGGACTGCCTGTGGGCTGTTTGAACTTGCCCTCAAAGAGAACAGGGAGCTTCTATGTTGTCATGTATTCTAGTTCTCAATAACGCATCCGTAATTGTGCCGAATCTGGAAGTTTACAAGTCTGAGCATAGTCTTCCAGAAAAGGAGCTTAGGAAACCATATTTCTTGGAAGCCTGACACGGTTGCTTTGAAGTTTGGTGCCGGATGCAGCAATCTATCTCCCCTCTCCAGAAATTTAATCCTGGTTTCAGGACTTGGCTTTGAGCAGAAGCTCAAGAGCAAAGCACGGCCGGTCAGAAACCAAAACTTTCAGGATTTCATGAGGCCACCACCTCAACTTCTGCTTCCCTTCATATACTCTCTGACCATTGGCGTTGGGAACAGCGTTTTTCAACCTCGGCAACTTTAAAAGGTGTAGGCCTCAGCTCCAGAATTTCCCAGTCAACCTGCCAGCTGAAGAATTCTGAGTTGATGTCCACCTATCTTAAGAGCGGCCAAGAAACAAGGGGTGGAAACAATGGGGAGAACTAAAGAGAAATTTCCTAATAGGGAGGACAATTAACCAGGGGAACAGCCTGCCTCCAGAAGTTGTAGGTGCTCCACCACTGGAGGTTTTTAAGAAGAGACTGGACAGCGATTTTTTCCTGAATGTTATAGGGCCTTCTGCTTAAGCAGCGGGTTGGACTAGAAGACCTCCAAGGTCCCCTCCAACTCCATATTATTCTGGAGAATTCTGAGTTGAAGTGCACGTATCTAAAGACTTGCCAGCGTTGAGAAATGCTGCTCCAGATGTTCCATCTTTGCTGGTTGCCTGAAGCTTCTCCAGAAAAATGTAAAACCGTATGCACTTGAAAAGAAGTTGACCCTGAATTTGAGACGACTTTCCTTCCCCGCTAAGAAAACACACTAGCCTCCCCTTCCCATTGCTGTACACTCCACAGTTTAAAAAGCTTGCCACCGCTTTCTGATTATCTTAGTTATCAGAGGAGAAAATCTAATCCTCCTCCATTCGGCTAAATGCTGGAATTGTACCTTCTTCCAACCCAAGATTACTCTTTTTCAAGACCCTGCGTGTCCTTTCCCCTCTGTTTTCCTGCTTTCCTGCCCCAGTTTTGCTCCAGCAGTGGGGCGGATGTTCCAGTGGCTTGCCCGAGCCCCCTTCCTGGGGTGCTGCCTTGACCAATTACAAACCAGGAGTGGAAAGGACAGGAAGACATCCCAGCTGTGGCTCCTTTGACCCTTGAACATCTGGCGGCACACATCTGTTTCTGATCACGCCTGGGAATCTCTTCTCTCCCTCCCATGCCGAGAGGGTTTGACTTTGTCAAACTTGAAAGGGGTGTTTGTGTGTGTGTGTATGCGTGTGTTTGAGGAGCGAGGGAGGGTAAAGACCAGAAATGCTTTGGATAGCAAGGAAAAAAGCCCCTGCAAACCAGAATAAGATCACTTTGGAGAGATGTGAGATAAACAAGCAAGAAACAGAATGAAGCTCTGAAGGGTTTGGGGTTAGAGTTGGTTTTAGAAGACTCTTCCTTCTTATGGGTCCTAGATAATGACAGCTTTGGGCAGCAGCTGTATTTCCCATCTTCAGCCCCCCAAATAAATGCAGGCGGTACACTCACCCAATGAGAGATAAAATGAATAATTTGGGACGAGTGAGAGATTCTCTCTGAAGTTCTCTCTGAAGTTCAGTGTCCCACCTCAGGTTGGGCAGAACTTCAGTGTCCCAACTCAGGTTGACCAATGGAGATCAGGTTCTGACCATGTGCTTAGTCTAGTGCATGGAGATATTGGTCCCAAGGAATAACACGTGTTAATAATAGATGTGTAATAATGTGTTGGGTACTTGACATATGTAACACCACTGCTTTGTGAGCTGTATTGGTTGCTAGTGTGTTTCTAGGTGCAATTGAAGGTGCTCGTTGATGGGTATAGTATTGTGTAATGTAGGGTAGGGTAGGGTAGGGTATAGAGTAGGGTAGAGTAGAGTAGGGTAGAGTAGAGTAGATTTGTAGATGATCGATAGGTAGGTAGGTAGGTAGATGGATGGATGCAAAGATGGATGGATGGATGAATAGAGAGAAAGAGATAAGGAGAGAGGGAGAGAGAGGGAGATGATAGATAAATACATTAGCTATATAGACAGATCCAGGCAGATTAGATAATAAGTAGATAGGTACGTAGGTAGTAAGGTAGGTAGGCAAACAGACAGACAGACAAACCCTTAGATATGATGGATAGATCTAGAGATAGATGGATGGATGGATGGATGGATGGATGGATGGATGGATGGATGGAGAGATAGATAGATAGATAGATAGATAGATAGATAGATAGATAGATAGATAGATAGATAGATAGATAGATAGATAGATGAAATACATATCAGCCAAGGATCTTAGATAGCCCACCCCCTTAATGAATCAGAACTATATGTGCAACTATCCATATACACAAGTAAATGTCAACATGTAAGAGTCTTTGAGATTTTCGTTTATTTTTGGTTGTTTCCTCTCCTCGCCTTTGGTACCCATCCTACGATGTTCTAGCTGTGCAGCCCAAACATTGTTTTCTCAAAGGTTTTCCTTCATCCCTTTGCTTTTGCAAGAGAATATGCTCTCTCTCCTATCCAAACCTAGTTGGGAGGCCTCCAGAGACTACATCTTGACCGACTGAGGCCAGAGGTGAGAAGGTCCTATGTCCTGGAGGAGAAAGATCTAAGAGACGCAAGAAGGGAGCCCAGTGTTTTATTGGAAACCCTCTTCTCCTGTTTTAGCCTGCCAACGGTTGGCTGTCAGTCAGAAAGAGAAGTGGCTTTGATGAGGACCTTGTCTGCCTGACAGCTCTGTGTCTAGAAGACCCCAGTGGGCCATCAATATTCATGGATAGAAATATTGCAACTTTTGTATTCTGAGAAGGAGCTCCAGGCTTCCTAGGGATTTGTTTCATTTCAAGAGCAGACATTCTCATTTTGACTTGACTTATTCTACAGTTCTTCCTCTTGAACAGATTCTAGGTGGTCTACCAAAGTCCAATCAAGTGATCTTCTATCAAAACAATTGAATAAAACCATTTTATGTATTAATGAAGCCATTAATTGCATGCATTTCAGCAAATTACAGCTCTCTCTCTCTCTCTCTCTCTCTCTCTCTGTGTGTGTGTGTGTGTGTGTGTGTGTGTGTGTGTGTGTACAGTAGTGGGATTCAAAAATTTTACTACTGGTTCTGTGGTCGTGGCTTGATGGGATTGGCTTGGCTTGATGGACGTGGCTTGGTGGGCATGGCAGGGGAAGGTTACTGCAAAATCCTATTCCCTCCCCACCCCACTAACCTGCTTTCCAGCTCCGTTCTCCTGGGCAGGGCAACCAAAGAAGACCCAGCTGATCAGCTGGGACTTGATTGGAGGCAGAGAATAGAGGGGGGCCGGGCCAGTCAGAGGTGGCATTTGCTGGTTCTCCAAACTACTCAAAATTTCCACTACTGGTTCTACATAGATTTTGTGGTTTCCTAAAGCAATAATTGCCCCTATATTAAATATGAAAGAGTTCTTTAAAGAGTTAAGTGTTCTTTAATCCACTACTATCAAGAGTTCTTTGATCCACTACTTAACAGAGTTTGGAATGTTTTACACCACCTCCTCCTTTCTCCTTTGTAGGACAGAGTGGTCTTGGCAAGTCCACCATGGTCAACACCCTCTTTAAATCCAAGATCAGCCGGAAATCAACTTGTTCCGGGTACGAGGAGCGTATTCCCAAAACTGTGCAGCTGCTTTCTGTCACCCATAGTAAGTAATATGAAAAGGCTAATTCTTCCTCACCCTTTTTGCCATCTTCCTTCCAGTAGATCCATCACAGGTCTAGAAAAACCACAAGGGATTTTATACTTATCCATAATTTGTGTTCTGGCTATTGAGACAGACATATAATTTTTCCAGTTTAAACGAGCATTACAAATTATATGATAAGTTTCAAGATGGGAAGGAATTGTGTTTTGTATGGAAGTTGCTCACTAGAGCAGGGGTCACCAACCTTTTGGACCTCAGGGACCACAAAACTTATAATTTTAAATTCCACAGACCACTAATATGAATTTTGACTGGCGGTGGCTTGCAGACGTTGGTGGAAAAATCAGTCCAGTATTCCAGAGCTGCAGTAGTCACAAGAGTGGCCCTTTGGTCACTCCAGAGCTTTCTTTCTATCCCCCAAACTCCACCAGAAATGAGTCCTGGTGAGACTTGTCGTGCCAGCGCAGCCTCTTGGAGCAGGAGGCCTTGCAGGGTCCCAAAGACTCATTTCTGGCAGAGTTTGGGGGAGAGAAAGAAAGACTTTTGCTGCTTTCCTTGCGTGCAGCCAAGAAGTGGAAAGAAGCAGAAGATTGGTCTAGATCAGTGGTGGGATTCGAATTTACTTACTACCATTTCTATGGGCGTGGCTTGGTGGGCATGGCAGGGAAAGGATACTGTAAAATCTCCAGTCAGAGGTGGGATTTGCCAGTTCTCCAAACTACTCAAAATTTCCGCTACCGGTTCTCCAGAACTGGTCAGAACCTGCTGAATATCCACCTCTGGTCTAGATCTCGAAGATCTCAAAGATCTCTTCCAAGCCTACAATTCCATGTTCTACGTTCTAAAAGCAGTAGTAGAAATATTGGGTGGTTCCCAACTGGGAAACTTCTCCGTAGGACTGGAGGAAATCAACCCGCATTTTTGGCAGGCATGGAAGGGATAACTGTCCTTTTTGAAAAATAGCTGGGCTGTCGACGGTCTGCACAGCGGAGAGATTGTGTGGGGGAAGCAATGTCGGGGCAAACCGGAAGGGGTGGAAGGCCTACTGGGTCAATGAAAAAAGAGACCCCTTTATTGTGCTACGTCTAAACTAGGCTATTCTTCTTCCACATCCTTCAACTCCTCCCCCCACCTCCCACTCCTCAGTTACCCGCCAGGGCTTGAAAGGAGCTGGGCCTGTCCATTTCAGCTCTGAGGAACAAAAGGGGTCTTGTGCAGGACTCCCACTGACCCATTAAAGCGTCGTCGCCATAGCTACCCTCCCAGGAAGTTCGTGCTGCTTTTCAGAGGTGGGGGGAGGAACGCTGTCGTTCTTCCAAAAGGGAGAGCCCACCCCTGGCCTCCTAGTTTGAGATCAGAGACACCCACTCCCCACCCGCTCCCCAGAAAGGGGGTCCGTTTCCTGGGGGAGGAGACGGAGGGAAGAGGCTTTCGAAGGCAGCGCTGGTGGTGGTGGGGGAATGGCATCCTACCCAAAGTCGAAGGGCTCTTTTGGAGATCCAGGGAAAGGTGCTAAGATGGTGAGGTCTGCACGGTCTCTCATTTCAGAAGGCTTTCTGCAGCCTTCCAGACTCAGCCACAACAGAGTTAAAGTGTCTTTGCCCTCCCAGTTCTAAATCCCGTCAGGAATCTCTGCATCTGACATTGATTTGAAAGGTTCAGTGAGAGCTGCTAATCCACTCCTCATCCTGACAATCAGAATTATCTATTTTTCTGTCTGTCTATAGATCTGTCTATCAATTTCTAGATCTATTTATCACATCTAAGGGTCCGTCTGTCTGTCTGTCTACCTATCATTTAATCTACTGTGTCTGTGTCTGTCTATATAGCTAATGTATTTGTCTATCATCTATCTCTCTATCCTATCTCTCTCTCCATCCATCCACCGATCCATCCATTTATGCATTTTTGCATCCATCCATCTACCTATCTACCTACCTATCTACCTATTATTTAATCTATTGCGTCTGTGTCTGTCTATATAGCTAATGTATTTGTCTATCTATCATCTATCTCTCTATCCTATCTCTCTCTCCATCCATCCATCCGTCCATCCATCCACCCATCCATCTATGCATCTTTGCATCGATCTACCTAACTATCATCTAATCTATTGTGTCATCTATCTGCCTATCTATCTATCTATCCATCTATCTACCTACCTACCTACCTATTATTTAATCTATTGTGTCTGTGTCTGTCTATATAGCTAATGTATTTGTCTATCTATCATCTATCTCTCTACCCTATCTCTCTCCCCATCCATCCACCCATCCATCCATCCATCCCTCCCTCCATCCATCCATGCATCTTCGCATCCATCTACCTACCTACCTACCATCTAATCTATTGTGTCTGCTATCTATTATTTACCTACCTATTATCTAATCTATTGTGTTTGCAATCTACCTACCTACCTATCAATCTATTGTGTCTGTGTCTATATAGCTACTGTATTTATCTATCATCTATCTCTCTATCCTATTTCTCTCTCCATCCATCCATCTATGCATCTTTGCATCCATCTACCTACCTATCATCTAATGTATTGTGTCATCTATCTATCTATCTATCGTATCTATCATATCTATCTACCTACCTACCTACCTACCTACCTACCTATCTAGCAAATATATCTAACCACATATCTCACAAGAAGGGACTCTGAAAGGCCTACAACAATCAAATAAAAACAACCCTCATACAAATGCAATCATTATATAAATCTAAAAGAATTGTTGCTTAAAATTTAAAATAGATTACGAAGAAAACTATACAAACCATAGGTCTGGAGAGATGAAATATATCAATAGAGGAGCCATCTGGAGATGTCCATGGTTCCCTGCTGGGACTTCAAGTCTGCTAAGGGACTTCTGGAACATCAACTGAGATGGAGCTTGTTTCATTTTTAGGGTGGTATGAGAATATTTCCCACCCCCTCAGTTGAAAAGCAAGAAGGAAGCAGGTGCGTCTGAGTGTGGATTCCGAAACGTGACCTAACCAAATGTCCTCTTCTTCTGACAGTTGTTGAAGAAAAAGGTGTGAAGATGAAGCTGACGGTCACAGACACCCCAGGATTTGGGGACCAGATTAACAATCAAAACTGGTATGAAGGGGGACAGACCACTAGCATCTCGCATGGAAGATCTGGCGTTGAACTCCTCTATTCATTTCATGAATTTTATTGATTAGCCCTTGGGCCATATCAAAGAGCAGAGTTCCCAGACACAAATTATTACTAAAATGTGATAAAAGCCATTTAAAATGGAATTGGGATAAAATAGAATCATATAAGATTTAGATAAAATATGACAACATTATATGTTGGTGTCACCCCTACAATCCATCCCAATCAGCCCCACATATGTCAGTCTCAACCGAACCATTTTGCTCATGTACTGTGCTGTGTTAAATGTTAGTTTCAGATTCTGGCTGCACATAAGGTAAGTTCTTTTGACGTGGGGATCCCAATGGGTCATTTGTTTGGTATAGAGACCGAGGTACACCTGTCTCTCACTCCCTTATACAGGCAACCATCAAATAGGATGTGAGCCAGGTCTTCTACCTCCGCCACTCCGCAAATGCAGAGATGTACATTGTAGGATATAGAATGTCATTCCTCTGTTCGACATTCATTCAATGTATATGTCCCCTTTTAAAGACCACCCTCCTGGAAGAGTGCCTTAATTAGGGAGGGGTCACTTCACTGCACAAGATCAGGAGAATCTTTAAAATGGATCTAATCGATTTAGCACCAAGGCTGGGGTTGCCGGCCTTAGGCTGCATACAAGGTTATCGGATGGTGTAGGCGGTGTTGGGATTCGCCAGTTTGCACCAGTTCGGTTGTTAACTTTCTGAGTAGTTTGGCAAACTGGTTGTTGGAAGAAATCATTAGGGCAGAGAACCGGTTGTTAAATTATTTGAATCTCACCACTGGGTGCAGGCCAAAAATCAAGATGGCAGCCACAACATGGCTGTTGAAGCCTGTGCAAAATAGGCCACAGTTTGAGGGCTCCGTTGCAGTTACACTCTCAACTTTTATTACTATGCCCCATGCACACTTCTGGCTGCATAAGTCCTGCATGGAATGCTTTCTAGGTAGCCCTTGACTTACAACCATTTTTGTTCAGTGACCATGCAAAGTTACAACGGCACTGAAAAAAATGGTGTATGACTCCCTCTTACAATCATCAAGCCTCCAGAGCCAGGGGAGGGTGAAAATCCCCATTGCCCCGTGGTGCAGGAGGCCAACTAGGCCACGCCCACCATGGCCACGCCCACCCAGCAACTGGGCAGAAGAACAGTTGCTAAAATGTTTGAAGCCCACCCCTGGTTTCCACCTCATCACAAGACCCTAACAAGACCCTCACTTGACATACTCACACCTGAGCCATCACAAGACCTACTGACCCCATGAAGCCCTTTTAAGCAGAAGAACACTGACACTGACATCCCCTAAGCTCTGCTGAAGATGTTACCTAGCCTGGTAATGAAAATTTGGAAACCAACCCACAAACTTCCAGAACGAGCCTTCACCCTCATCCTTTGCCCAAGGTGCAGGTATTTGCCACTATTGCTTATGATGTAAGCTTGTGGCGAAGGCACAAAACTTGACAATTAAAAAAAAGTTGATTGCAGAACATTTGACATTTAAGAAAACTTCCAGATAGCAGCGATCCAGGTTAGGCAGCCATACCCATAAAGGGCAAATTTCTGTCAATTGCAACATTTCAATATGCAAGGGTACAGATGGATTCCAATGACATGATTTGCCTGTTTCCATCACAGCCATGATTTAGACTTACATTCACCATCAGGCTTGAAATTTTGGGCTTGGGCAACCTTGAACTACGCCACCTACTGTTGGACTTAAGCGTAGTACACAAAATTACCTCCAATAATGTCCTAACAGTCAATGGCTACCTCAGCTTCAACTGCAACGATACAAAAGCACACAACAGATACAAACTCAATGTAAACCGCTCCAAACTTGACTGCAGAAAGTACGACTTCAGCAACAGAGTGGTCAATGCCTGGAATGCACTACCTGACTCTGTTGTTACATTCTCTAACCCCCACTCCTTTAACCTCAAACTAACCACTATTGACCTCGCCCCATTCCTAGGAGGTCTGTAAGGGGTGTGCATACGTGCACAAATGTGCCTACTGTCCCCGTCCTATTGTCCTCATTTATTCGTACCCATTTCCTGTATTCTTACCCATGTTATTCTTAAACCTATTACCTTGTAAGTAATTGACAAATCGGATAAATACATAAATGAAATTTTGAGGGGCAACAGACACTCCCTTCTTCTGGTTATCCCATTAAAAAGCGGTTTCACTGAAATAAGAACAGCTTGATGTTCTTACAATGAAGGTCTTTTCTCAAAGAACTTCGTCCTTTATTTGTTTCCTTGTTTGCTTTAAGCAATAAGCAGAAAGTTTTGCTCAGAATGGCCCAGGAAGCTGAATCTCTGTTCTTCCTTTCTCATAGCTGGGAGCCAATCATTCAATATATCAATGACCAGTATGAGCGTTATTTGAAAGAGGAAATCCTGATTAACCGCAAGCAGAAAATCCCAGACACCCGTGTACATGCCTGTGTATATTTTGTCCCTCCCACAGGTCACTGGTAAGTCCACCTTTGATGCGGGAGTCCATCCCTCCCACTCATTATAGGCAAAAAGGGGATCATAGAAAGTTAGGCGAGTTCTATTCAGAATAAAGCACGGAGAAGACTACTCATCTTGTCTTTAATTCTATTAATCTATAACATGACATACAAAGAGAATACAAAAGCAAAATTAGGGAAATTAGCAAAGGAAAAAGAGAAGTGGATAGTGGGGGAAAGCAAGGGGGGAAAGGCATTGACTTCTAATTCCTTTGTTGCAGTTAAATAAGGCATTAAGATCTACCCTCAACTTTTTGCTTTTTCATAATAATAGAAACTAGCCATTTCAATAACAACAAATCTATCTAATCAGTATAACTCAAAATCAAAGATTCATTTTTTTGCTACCTCAAGCACCAAGTCCAGAAGTGGTTTTCAAGTAGAAAGGAAAGTATTGTATTGTATTTTTCTTTAATCAAAGCAGAAAAGAAAGTATTGTACTGTATTTTTCTTTAATCAAAGCAGTCAATTTAGCCATCTCTGGTACCTCCATCAGTTTTTGTAGCCAGTCATCCATTATGGGAATCGAGGTGACTTTCCATTGCTGTGCACAGAGTACTGAAGACTACCCATCTTGAAGATTGCTTTCACTTTCCACTCAGAAGCTATGATTCTGGTTTTCAATCGGCCATCAAAATGACAACCCAAAACTTGCAGGAAACTCTCAAAGGAACAGTACAACTATCTTCTTTAGACCACAGGCCAAGACAAATAGTCATAGCATCTTATCTAGATGGTCTTTAGATTACAACTCCTATCAAAGGTCATGGAGAAGGCTTTCCTTAATCCAAACCATACCTGTGACAGGTGATCTTTGAAATCCACCACCAAATGTGTTTGATGTCAAAGTTCCGATTGATAAGCCCAACCAATTCAGCACTCCAAGGCAGACAGCTTTCTCAAAGAATTGTTTTACTGAGCACGCATGAAAGCAAAACCAACTCTAACTAAATTTCCCGTGGTTTTTTGCATAATTAAAGAATAGATACTCCCCTCCCCTCTTGTCACAGGTCACATTGTCCAATTCTGGAAGCTCCTTCCAGTCTCTGGCCAGCACCTATTGAGATGACCTTGGTTCTCAAGGGATGATATATTGTTACTGCCTGGTCTGACGTTACAGCCTCTCTCCCCCTCTTATACTGTGTGGCAAGCTGAGAAACAAAAAGATGGCTGCAGCAGCTGAGATCTGTTCCAAAGTTGGCATTTGAGCAGTTGGGTAGACAACTCCTCCAGGGAAGGGGAAATCCTCCAACCACAATAGGCTTCATTGGGATAGCAGCTCTGTTCATATCACAGAGAGAGGTCTTCTTGCATTTCGTTCCCCTCAGGCTCCGCCCCTTGGACCTGGAGTTCATGAGACGTCTCAGTAAGATCACCAACGTGGTGCCGGTCATCGCCAAAGCGGACACCTTGACCCTTGAGGAAAGGGCAGAGTTTAAACAGAGGGTAAGCATGAGCAGAAACACAGACGGTTCCTAATGACAGAAGGGTGGGTTGACCTAGTGAAAGGGGAGACTAATCAGTTGGAAGGGATCTTGGAGGTCTTCTAGTCCAACCCCCCGCTCAAGCAGGAGACCCTATACCATTCCAGACAAATGGCTGTCCAGTCTCTTCTTAAAAACCTCCATTGATGGAGCACCCACAACTTCTGAAGGCAAGCTATTCCACTGATTGTTTTCACTATCAGGAAATTTATCTTTAGTTCTAGGTTGATTCTCACCTTCGTTAGTTTCCATCCTCTGCCATTTACAGAAAAGTGAGTCTTGGGTAAAGCAGAAAGTATGATAAACTCAAAAGAAGTCACTTTGATTGTGTTAGGAATAAAATAGGGCTTTTGATAGGCATATAGATTCCGAACCCATAATTCAGAATCGAGATTCTTTTTTTTTTTGTAAGTTTTATTGGTTTTTAAAAACAAACATAGACAAACAAAACATAAAAACATCAAACTTTCTTCCATAAGTATACAAACAGTGTGCCGGTTGGTTTACAAATCATTTTGTGCATCCATTTCGTAGTCTTCAATTACAGTTACATTACATAAAAGCTCATATTATCAATCACAGAATCGAGATTCTAATCCAGGGTTTCTTTGCCTCAACAATTTTAAGGAGTGTGGACTTCAGCTCCCAGAATTTTTTATTCTGACTTTGAATGCTAGGCTGAATACTATCATGGTCTCGAAAAATAAAACTGGCCATCTGAAATAATAGATGCTTTCTCAAAGGTGAGAAAAATCCAGAAAAGTTATCTCGAGCAAAAGTTTGGGCTCGAATATGACTTTCTGATCTTTTGCTTGTATAAACAGAGAAGCGTTCGATTACAAAGTTCCTCTAGGTTTCATGGTTGATTGGACTCCGTAAAAGAGTTTTACAGCATTTCTGTAAATCAAGGGACAAAAAAAGAAAAGAAATCTGAAGTTTTGTGGCTGAGCAAGAATATTGAGGAGAGTGATCTTGCTTCTATATGATATTGAAATGAATTAGAATTAGAATTCTTTATTGGCCAAGTGTGATTGGACACACAAGGAATCTGTCTCTGGTGCATGAGCCTTCAGGGTACATACAACAACAGTGAATATCAGGTAGAAGCCAAACTGATCTCTTCTATACCGTGTTGTGATATTCTTGATCCAACCCCAAAGTGCAGATTGTTCATCACTTGTTGTCCTTCAATAAAAGAAAGGAATGTTCTCCCAGTCATGATCATAACTAGTGTCCTGCCCCTGTCAGAGTCCGAATCTGAGGAGGAAGATGAACAGCTGATAGGGAATGAGAGTGTGGCTCCGTTGGCTGTGGAGGAGGCTGGAGAAGGGCGAAGTCCAGCTGGGCAGAGCAGGGAAGAGGTAGAACAAGGGAGAGGGAGTTCAGAGGAAGACCCAGGCCCACCCCCCTCTTCATCCTAGGCCACGCAGGTAGGAATGGAGAAGAGAGCAACGTGGGTTGCATGGCTTATGAGGGAGGAAAGGGCCCTGATTCCCTTCATTAGCCACAACTGGGAAGACAGTTGATAAGAAAGGCAGACTGCGTGCAGCAGCTGCTGGGAGCAAACATGACTTTATCCTGTGTTGTCGTGGCTTATCTGTGTTGCTGGCATCTTTCCAACCATGTTGAGTTTTGCCGTGCCTTCATGTCTGGAATTCTTGCTCCTGCCCTGCCAAACTAATTACCTCCGTTTGGTTTGTTTGGACTTAGAGTTACAGTTTGTGTTGACCATGTTTTGGACTTAAGTCTCTGTAGTCAAAGGCTGTTCCTGGGAGAGTTTTTCTCCAGCCCAGAAGGTAACCTGGACATTGGGGGCAAAGTTGGAGTGAATAAAGGGACTTTTATTGATTAACTGACTGTGTTGCCTTTGTGCCATGCCCCGGGTCATCACAACTACCATTTTATCTTGGCAGGTCCAGAAAGACCTGAAGGCCCACGGCATCCATGTTTACCCCCAAGTAGACTTTGACGATGATCCAGACGATCGGCTTTTGAATGACAAAATCAGGGTAAGTCAGTGGTGCCCCCCCACCCACCCCGGATTGAGAGGACATTATGGAGGGTTCCTGGCTGAGTTTGGGGTTCAGCCAAAGCTGTAAGCTACATTTCAAGAACAGCTTTTACAGCATTTCCTCCCTTCCTACCTCAACATCTTTGCCCGGTTTTAAGTATTGATCTTGGCTTATATTAACTGTTATTCCCAATGTTCTCGAAGTCAGTGGCCAAATCTGGATTAAAGCTGCCTTTTGTTAGGTGTTCTGAGTTAGTTTGGAATTGCCCGTGTTGCAATCTGGAATTATAGTTTGGCTAGAGAGCTGCGATTTGAACTGAGGTGGAAACTAGGAACTGTAAGAAAATTCAACAGCTTTTAGCTTGGTTTGCAATATCGTACAGGTGAGTCCTTGACCTGCAACAGTTTATTGGGTGACTGTTCAAAGTTATAATGGCACAGGAATTTAAGACCATTCTTCATACTGATGACCGTTGCAACATCCCCAAGATCGTGTGATGAAAAGTTTGACCATTGGCAACTGGCATGTACTTATGACAGTTGCAGTGTCCCAGGGTCATGTGATCAGCTTTTGACAAGCAATGGGGAAGCCAGATTCACTCAACGACCATGTTTCTAACTTAACCATAGCTGAGATCCACTTAACAACTCTGGCAAGAAAGCCCGTGGAGCCAAACTCACTTGATAACTGTCTCGCTTAGCAACAGAAATGTTGGGCTCAGTGGTGTTTTAAGTGGAGGACTACCTGTAATCAGCTGGTGATTCTCAACAGGATTGCAATGTATTCAGCTTCTGAAGGTCTGTTTCGGTTTAGTTGAAGTTGTCAGAATTCTGGCAGTTACCCCCCCATCCCCATTTAAATCATGAGTCTCAAGCCAAACTTCCAAAACTTCAAAAGGATTTATTGGGAGTTAACATGCCGGCACTGCCTGGGTGCAGCCAACTCTGAGACACAGCATTCATTGTCACCCTTGACCCTGGTTTTCCCCTACCCCCTGGGCGTATCATAATTCATATTCTCCAATGGGATACTTCCATAGCCCAGAGTCATCAATCATGCTCTCCGGTTAGAATTTTGCACAGCAGAGACTTCAGTCACCTAGTTACTATCTTTGAAAACATTTATGGAATGCAGTTTTCCAAGCAGCTGCACTGCTCCCCCTTCCCTTTCTGTTGGCAACTCTTAAAAAGAGTAAATAAATATTTTATGAGTTGTCTGCGTACTCTTAAGTCTACCAGCCATGATGCCTATTCAAATTCTGCTGACTTTTTCCTTCACCAAGGTGGTAGAACCGAATTCCTCACCTTGCTTCTGTTTCTCTTAATCTAGGAGAAAATCCCCTTTGCAGTCGTAGGAGCAGACAAGGAACATCAGGTGAATGGGAAGAAGGTCCTGGGTCGCAAGACCAAGTGGGGGATCATTGAAGGTAAGGCTTCTTGGAGGAAGAGCTGGCCTGCAGAGATCCATCTGAGAAAAGTCCAAACTAGAAGGTCTCTAGGGTCAATCTGTTCGCTTTGTTCTGCACACCTTGCGTGTAGGCAAAGGAGTGGCAGAACCTGGGGGTAGAATTAAGAGAGGAGTCAGTCTAGAATCCCTGCATAGCCACAAGCAAATGATTAATGTCAGGCATGAAATGTCAAGTCCACACATGAAGGTCCAATTAAATTGCTAATCATGCCTATTGTCAAAGAGTTGACAGCGTGACTATTATTGTGAGACAACCCAGGAGCAAAACACAGGACACAGAGGTTTTGTCCTTTAACAGTGGTTTATATGCAAGACTGCTATATACATACATACACATGTTAGGCAAATGCCAGGCAATCAATCAATCTTCAACTCTACACAGAGAACTACAATGGGGATAGAACACGAGGAGAGAGAGATGCCCTCACATGACCTCCCTTATATAGACAGCTTCTTAAAGTGGCAGTACCCTGCTGACTCATCCTCAGTTCGTCATCTTGGCTTACAGCCTTACAGCAGCTGGTCAGCTATTAAATCTTCATTTTCTTAAGACCTGTGAACAGGAATCTTCTCAACCAAAACTCAGCCCAGGCTTGGAGTTTGATGAGGGTCAATGGAATTCAAGGGGAATTGGACTTAGTTCGCTTGTGGCAACTTAAGGATTCTAGGCTAGTTCCTCTTTTAACTCCACCTCCAGTTTCTCCTTCCTTCCTTCTCCTGCTTTGTGCCTTTTGCTTTCTTCTACTTCTCCCGCTTCGTGCTGTACACACTGATAGCTGCTTATTTACACCCTTGATTAGGAGGGAGATACTACTCCCAGCAGGACATGATCTGGGGCCATGTAATTGCCAAAATGTCTAAGCTTTCCTTGAAATTTGAAATGGAAGAACGACATCCTAAGATGTGCTAAAAACTTTGGTTATAATATACCGATGGATGAGTGGGAAAATGTGTGGTTAAATCCACACTATGGTAGATTTTTTGTTTTTTTTACAAAACGATGTACTGCACCATTGGTATATGACACCAGGCAAACTTTCTAGGATGTCTGAAGGTAAAGGCAGTCCTTGACTTATAGCCATTCGTTTACTGACCATTCAGAGTTACAACATCACTGGGAAAAAAAAAGACTCACAATTGGTTTTCACGCAACCACTGCACCATTCCTGTAGTCATGTGATCAGAGGCATGGCAATTGACTCGTATTTATGGCGGTTGCAGTGTCTCGGGGTCATGGGATCCGTTTTTGTGACCTTTGGACACACAGAGTCAATGGAGAAGGCAGATTTACTTAATAACCATGTTACTAACTTAATATTTTCAGTGATTCATAATCGCAGTGGCAAGAAAGGTCATAAAAACTCACTTAACGACTCACAGAGCCCAGGGGAAATAACTTTTATTGATTGGCATTGGGCAGCTCTCCGTAGGCTTTCAAACAGAGATGTTAGGCACCAGAATTGCAATCTGACCATTGATTAAAAACTACAGTAGCTTTAAATTTTTCCCCACTATTGGCAAGGCAATATTTAGGTATCCAGTGCCCTCTAGCGTTCAGCAGAGACTTATTCCCAGCCAGACACAAGGCATTCAAATCATTGCCTGTGAAATTCCAAAATTTGACCCAATGGCTCAAGCCAAACATTTGGCAGAAGAAATATTAGATAAGCAGAAGAAATATTAGATAGGACTTGTGCAGTGGAGTGAATTTAGGGAAGGTGTGATTTGAAAGGGAAGAAAGATCAGATGAATGAATTCTCCGCTCTTCAACCTCTTCGACACCTGGAATACTACAACTGATTTTGGTCACCATACTACAAAAAAAAAGATGTTGAGACTTTGGAAAAAGTTCAGAGAAGAGCAACTAAAGTGTTCCAAGGTCTGGAGACTAAAACATAGGAAGAATGGCTGCAGAATTTGGGCTTGGCTAGTCTAAAGGAAATAATTTGGGTGACATAATAGCAGTCTTCCAGTATTTGAGAGGCTGCAACAAAGAAGAGGGGGTCAAATTATTTTCTAAAGCATCAAAAAGCAGGACAAGAGACAATGATTAGAAATTAATCCAAGAGAGAACCTGGAATTAAGGAGGAACTTCCTAATAGTGAGGACAATTAACCAGTGGAAGATGTTGCCTTCAGAAATCATGGGTGCTCCATCACACAAACTCAAGTCCTGCAGTCGTTCTTCGTATGTTTTAGTCTCCAGGCCTTTGATCATCTTAGTTGCTCTTCTCTGAACTTTTTCCAAAGTCTCAACATCTTTTTTATAGTATCTATGACCAAAATCGGTTGCAGTATTCCAGGTGTGGTTGTCCCAAAGGTGCTTTTTCAAGAGGGAACTGGACTCTCTGGTCCAGAAAGTCCAGTTGCCCCCTGAAAAAGCACTTTTGGGTTTCCAGATGCAAATGTCTCTGCCAGTACTTGCTGCCCCATATGCTTGTAGCAAGCCTCCAAGAATTCACTGCCAAGATCAGTTTCCTTCCTTCAGCATGGGAAAAGCTTTACCTCTGTGCCCTGCTATGTTTTACAGGGAATTAAATGACACTAAATATTTGCACATAACCATGAATGAATTCCCCTTTGATCTGTGGACTTTGCTGCGTTTGTTTACACTCCTAGAACGGGTGATCTGTACGAGATGGGTTATTTTTTCATATAGAAGGGCCATCTTTCACATCAATTTATAGTTTTTAACTATTTTTAGCAAAACTGAATTCTGCACATGTAGATTGGCGTCTTTGCAACCCGCCTTTTTTCTCTTTTGAGGGAATGTGAATTTTTAAAAAACATACAACCAGCTGTTAGCTGTTTAAGCCAGCTGGGTGACTGAGGGACTGTTCCCTCTCTCTCTCAGCCCAACAGCCCTCACAGGGTGCTTGTGAGAAGAAAAAGAGGAGGAGGAGGCAGGTATGTTGGATAGGTTCGTTGCTCTGAGTTATTGGTAAAAATAAGGCAGGCTAAAAGGAATCAGCGAGGAAAATTCAAGCCAACTAACTTACAGAAAATAAAAAACATGCTACAGCAGGGGTCTTCAATCTTTTTTAAAATTTATTTATTTTATTTATTTTGTCAAAAGCTTACAATACAACAGACGCAAGAATAAACATAAGTGTAAATACAAGAAATAGGAACTAATAACTGGGGACAATAGGACAGGGACAGTAGGCACGATTGCGTGCTTATGCACGCCCCTTAACTTGACTTGACAGCTTTAAGACTTGTGGATTTCAGCTCCCAGATTTCCTCCTCCAGTCATGTTAGCTCGGGAATTCTGGGAATTGAAATCCACAAGTCTTAAACTTGCCAAGTTTGAGGATCCTTGTGCTACAGAATTGGGATGAGTTAGGCACTAAATTTTAGTCCACAAACATGGACCCTTGTTGGACAGAGAGAGAGAAAGGGGATACAGGGATGAGTGTCATATGGAGTTCGTGAGTGGCAGGTTATCCAGCCAACCCTCCATGAATCAGAAATAACAGAACAATGGAGTTGGAAGGGACCTTGGAGGTCTTCTAGTCCAGCCCTTTCCTCAAGCAGGAGACCCTAGACCAGGAGTGGGGAACGATGGCCTATCTTTTTATGAATTGCGGACCTCTAACTCACAGAATGTTGAAGTTTACAAGTCACAAAGAGGCCGTGATTCCCCCTTGCTGCCTAGATCTGATGTCACCCCATCCCCAGTATCTGGACCAGTACCGGTCCGCTGCATGCAGTAACTGGTCTCCACGGACAAATTAAGCACCATCCACGGGATGCAGGCACCACGCAAAACCACGTCTCCTCCCATCCAGAGTAAAACTTCTCTCCATGGAAGTGGTCCCTGGTGCCCAAAAGATTGGGGGCCGCTACCCCAGACCATTTCAGACAAATGAATTTCCAATCTCTTCTTAGAAGCCTCCAGTGATGGAGCACCCACAACTTCTGAAGGCAAGCTGTTGGTTAATTCTTCTCACTTTTAGGTAGTTTCTCCTTAGTTCTGGGTTGCTTCTCTCCTTGATTAGTTTCCACCCATTGCTTCTTGTCCTGCCTTCAGGAGCTTTGGAGAAGAGCTTGACTCCCTCTTCTTTATGGCAGCCCCTCAAGTATTGGAAGATTGGTATCCTCTCGCCCCTAGTCCTTCTTTTTACTAGATTAGACATATTGTAATCAATTCCTGCAACTGTTCTTCATCATCCTTCTGCTTGGATGACCAAGTTATGCACTTCCTGAAATCCTTGGAGATAATATATTTTTTTCAATGGCAAACCAGCAGGGATGTCTCTCTGTTTGGAGAGGGTAAAGGGCGCAGAATAGCAGAAGCAGCAGGGATATGTTTGCATTAAAAAAAACATGGATGGTTTTATGAACTTGCTGAGATGGTTAAATGGACTCCCTTGATTACAGAAGAGAGAATATCTATGTTTCTTGCCAATTAGAAATGCCTTGTAGACATTTTGACTGTAACAGGAAAAAAAATATGATTTATAATTCTTTTGATTAGAAAAAAAACAGATGACAGGAAGAGAAAAAAAGAGCTTGTCTTTATAAGCGTGGAATAGAAGCTCATTTTGGTTTTGTCCTTATAATTGCTGTAAAGAAAACCAGAAGCTCCTTCTTTCTGTCGCTTCTATTTTTGAAAATCCCTGTCACTGGAGGTTTTCAAAAATAGACAACCATTTGACCAGGATGGCGTAAGATATCCTGCCTTGGGCAAAGGGTTGGACTAGATGACCTCGGAGTTCCTTTTTACAGCCATATAATTCTGTGTTTTATTTCTTATCCTTTGGGAAGGGTTTCACTTTTGGCTTCTTTCTTTTCTTTCTTTATATTAGGTCTTGTTAGTTTATATCCTCTTTAAAAACCTGTTATTGTTCTAATTTAACCATTTGTGATTTAGATAACTCCACACAAAAACCTCTCTCCATGGAACTGGTCCCTGGTGCCCAGGAGATTGGGAGCCCCTGATTTAGATGCCTGAAGTGCTGTTTTTGTCTAGCTGAGCGCTATGGCTGTTTGCGCACTTCAGTGCAATTGTGTCTCTTCGGTGCAGAGAGCCTGGCCCGCTCCCAGAAATCCCTTGGTCCTTCCCTTCCCTTTGGATTCCTCCCCCTCCCCTAGTTATCCTCTGGTTCTGCTTCGAAATGCATTTCTGTGTTTCTCTCTTTCAGTGGAAAACTCAGCTCACTGTGAGTTTCCTTTGCTGCGGGATCTCTTAATCCGGTAAGTTGTTGGTTCGGGAATCTTAACCATTTTTGAGTTGTAGGGAGTCAACGTGTTTGGAAACCCAATGAGCCAATCAGAAAGGAAAGAGGAGAGCCACAACTCCTGCATTTTGATAACATTCTGGCCACATTCCTCAGCATTCCGGTTTTCTCCCTTGGTATCTGGACTCCGTATGTCCAGCAGGAATTCTGGGCTAAAATTGTGGAGGACACCCAGAGTATTTCTTACTGGATCTATATTTACTGGAGTAATTGAGTAGTATGAGGTCAGCTAATAAGAGCCGGTCTAGTGGTCTAGTAATTAAGGCAAGGGGGAACTATGCTCCCTTTATGATTTGTGGACTTCAACTCCCAGAATTCCCAATCTGGCTCAGGAATTCTGGGAGTTGAAGTTCACAAGTCATAAGGGGACCATAGTTCCTCCTCTCTGGATTAAGGCACCAGGCTAGAAATTGGGAGACAGTGAATTCGAGTTCCGACTCAAAAACTGGTTGGGTAACCTTAGGCTAATCATCTGGAGACTGGGAGTTCTAGTCTCGCCTTAGATATAATAGCCAGCTGCGTGACTTGGACCAGTCACCAGGAAACGCTGAGTTCTAGTTCTGCCTTAGGCATGAAAACCAGCTGGGTGTTTTGAACCAATCACCAGGAGATGGTGAGTTCTAGCCCTGCCTGAAGCATGAAAGTCAGCTGAGTGGCTTTAGGCCAATCACCAGGAGAGAGTGAGTTCTAGTCCTGCCTTTGGCATGAAAACCAACTGGTTGACTGTGAGCCTAGTCCCTCACTTTCAATTCAGTTCCACCTCATGGTTGTGCAGAAAATAGGAGGAAGGAGGGGTATTAAGTATGCTCACCACTTTGAGTTGTTTATAAAAATAATAAAAGCTGGATACAAATAAGAGATAAATAAACAGGGGAACTGAGCAGTTCCAGCTGCTTCTATAACAAAAATTAACCCTAGCTTGCAACTGGAATTATTCCTCATTCGCCTTTTTGCTGAGAAGTGTACAATTCTGCCAAAGCCAAAAGTCTACCAGAGAAAAAACCATGCCCTGGAGCAATGGAGTATTTAAGTTTAAGCACATTTAAAAGGACCAGGTCTTTCCATCTATGGTTTGCCAAGAGGGGCATTCTATTTTTTTTTAAGCATTCTTGAGTGTCCTACAACTGAAATTTCATTTCCAGACTGACTTATTTTCTGGGATAAGATTTTCAATGGCAGTGGCCACCAGAAGACTGTCAATTTCCTTCTCTATTGGGCATTGCCAGATGTGGGTAGCCAGATGTTATTCTATGGGTTCCAAACACTCTACCAGAATTGACTTTTTTTGGATCTTCATGCTCGGATATATCCCTTAGAGTCCATTCACTTTAGAAGCTACCCAAGTCGTGACACTCAACAATTTTGCAAAAATGGTCACATGGAGGCTATCAGAAACAAGTAGGGTTGTGTGTCATGGATTGTATACTCCATTCTGGAAGTTTCTGGGATGAGAGAAATCGTTTGGGAGCCAAACGATGGAGAATTGGTAGGAAGTTATCAGGAAACTGCGCAAGAGGTGTCCAAATGAAGTCAGAGACGCTGAAGTGAACTTATATAACTTTTATATAAATAAATATATTTCCCATCTGTATTTACAGCAGACAATATAGTCAGGCACATCACTATATCGTGAGGTAAACCGTCAGGTAAATCACAGGAAGCATACAGAAGAAAAAGGCGGGGGAAAAAGGGATACTCCCCCTTCTCACCCAGCAACCAATCATAACATAGATTCCCAATCATAATGTAGGAGCTCGTCCTCTCCAACCAATCAACTACAACTGTGCGATCTTGCCCATTATACTCTTTACTGTTCCAGCAGTAATTAGATATTGCTAAATTAAATATTTTTTTTAACAAAAGTCATCCAACACTCTCATGGAATGGTTGAGATGTTGCTCTGCCCAATGGTTTCCAACCTCTTTTGCTGATGTCTACGGATCTTCTCAATCACCCAGGTCATAGTTGACCACACTTTTCCAAAACTCAATTAGACTTTCTTGGGTTTTTTTTCCCCTCTTGAAAGCATTTTGCTTCTTATCCTGGAAGCTTTTTCAATTTCCAGCTGAATGGTGAGGAAGGGAAGGAGTTGGTTGATGCCCCTTTTTCTTCTCTGTAGGTCTCACCTCCAGGATCTGAAGGACATCACCCACAGTGTACATTATGAACAATACCGCATCCAGCGCCTCAATGAAAGCAACCGGCTGGCCAAAGGTGGCGAGTGGCTGGCACTGAGCTCCCTCACCTATGAGCCACAGGGACAGCATCGTCTCCCCTGCACGGCCTCAGCCCCACCACCCCTCCAGTAGCTTCTGCAGATTGTTTTCCTCTTCCTTTTTCTTTTTTTTGGGGGGTGGGTGGGGTGGGGTGGGGGAATTAGCTGGAGCAATGTTCCTAGAAGACATCACACTCCCTCTGTAGCCCTTGTGTGTTTTCTCAGCATTTATGCCCTACTGCTGGACACCTTTCTTTCCATCGGTCTTCCATCCAGTTTCACACCTCGGAGAAGAGCAATGCTGGAACGGCTGGCAATTTAGCCCACCTTTTCGCATTCTGTGCCATGATCTGCACCACGTGGCTGTCTTTTTGGCAACCTCGGCTTCTCAGCTAACCTCCCTGCGTCTTCCAGGAAAACCTCCAGGCTGCCTTTGAAAGCAGGTTCTTCTTTTCAGATGTTTGGATGCGAGCCCCCTGTCCCTAGCAGACCTACTTCCTTCTTTATACCACACCTAATTCTCTCCTTGGATTCATCCTAAAACTAGAGGCTTCATGGCATTTCCCTGTCACTCTTATGGGGTGGGGTGGGTGGGCAAGAGACCCTGAAGATTTTGCTTTGGTTTAGAGATGGAGCTCACAAACTCTGTTAGCCCAAGGGGTGACTCTTTCTTGTAGATTGTCCCAAACTTGGAGGTTGGTAGCAGTAAGAAGGTATGAAAGCAAATGCGGTCTTCAGGTGAAGAGCCAACCTTCCTATGTGACTTGGACTGACTGATAAGACCCAAATGACTCATCTGGAAAGTGAGTGGACAGCAGGAGGAATGGCATATCACAAGCAATCTTCTCACAATCTTCTCACACCTTCTCCAAACTTATGAGTTTCTGACTGTGGAATGCCCCTTCTGGATATTTCTCATCCTGAGATCTACAGGTCTGGAACAATGCAGAAGATTAGTTCCAGCCTGGTCCCATGTTGGCGCAGAAGAAGAGACCTGGGAAAACTTTTTCCATTTTCTAGAATTTGCTTAGCTGGTCAAGTTTTTTTGTTCCCTCCGTGACATTGACACTCCTGAGCGAAAGGCTCTTGGTCAACTTGTGAGTCTTTCCAGTTATTCATTAAATCCCAGTTTAGAAGGTTTGGAGTTTTTCTTTTTTTCCTTTGTTGGGGGCAATTTAATTTCAATGTAGAATGGAGCTCCAAAGATCAGGTAGACTATCCCCCTCCATCAGCTACTGGAGATCAGGTAGATCAGATCCGCCCTAGCTCTCTGGTGATCAGGTAGAGACTCACTATTGACCGCTGGAGAACAATCAACCACGGTGAAACTGGCAGGAAGTCATAATTCCTCCATTGCTTTTTTTTTTTGCCTACCTGTTTTTCTGTTTAGGTAAAGAAATATCTTTGAAAGGATGGCCTAACACAGATTTGTCCTCAGACTCGACAGCTTTAAGACTTGTGGACTTCAACTCCCAGAATTCCTCCTCCTGTCATGTTAGCCTGGAAATTCTGGGAGTTGAAGTCCACAAGTCTTAAACTTGCCAAGTTTGAAGGCCCTTGTTCTAACAGAATACAGGTCATCTAGTGTTCTATAAATCTATCGAGACCATGATTCTTGCAATCTAAATTGGCAAGGCCAAAGGATAGCTGATTATGCAAAGCTACCATAAAGAGTTAGAACAAGCCAAGGAAAGTTATTCATGTACCTCAGTAGAGAAAAGGGGAAGGATGGTGTAATCCTTTGAGAGTCAACGATGAGCATTCGGCTCTCATCTAGGACATGGGGAAACTGAAGGTCCACATAGGCCACTATTTTGGGAGACTGACTGTTGCCAGGCGAAGACAAAGAACTGCCATAGATGACACCATAGTAGAATTAGTAACAGTTCCCCTGCTGTCCCAAAGATGCTTTTTTTATTTTCAGGAGGCAACTGGACTTTCTGGTTTTTCTTTGGAGACGTTTCGCTTCTCATCCAAGAAGCTTCTTCAGCTCTGACTGGATGGTGGGGAAGGGAAGGATTTATATTCCTTGCAGACAGCTGGTCATTAGAGGGTCATTGAAGCATTCCTGTAGTCTGCAATTTTCCCTCTGGAAACCCATTCCTACTCCCACACCATTCAAAAGGTGTTCATCCCAAATTATATAGCTAAGTGCCTGAGACTTTTAGCTGTACAGTTTGGGTTGGACACCCTTTGAATGGTGTAGGAGTAGGAATGGATTTCCAGAGGGGGGGAAATTGCAGACTAGAGGAACCAGGAGCGCCACTCAGGTCACCCTGAGGACACAGATAAATCTCCAAGTGGCCTCAACGACTCTTTAAAAAGGATGCAAATGACCAGCTGTCTGCAAGGAGTATATATCCTTCCATTCCCCACCATCCAGTCAGAACTGAAGAAGCTTCTTGGATGAGAAGCAAAATGTCTTCAAAGAAAAAAACAAAGTCCAGCTACCTCCCGAAAAAGCACCTATGACGCAACCATGACTTGGATGACCGAGAATCTCCATACGGGTCCCCTGCTGTTTCACACAAGAGACGAGACTGTTTCTTGCTTTTCTGCCATGTATTTAGGATAAAGTTCATAAGCTGAGCTGCTTTCAAGAGATATGGAAGCTCCTGTCCCATTGCTAGGGTCAGAAGAAATGAGAAGTGAGCGTGATGGTGAGGAGAAAGAGGCCCACGTATCCTTTGCCAAATATTATGGGCTGTTCTTCAGAAGCTCCTGCCAATCCCAAAGTGCAGAATTCACGGCATGGTCTTCTGTGTCTTTCAAGATCCTCGGATTTAAAATGAATGGTGCTTCAAAAAAGATTCTAAAGCCTGTAAATCACTTTTGACCCGATGATCGGAACCTGGGTGTACTTTGGACTGATTAGAACACGACGTGACTTTTCTACCTTCGCTTAGAAAGCAATATTTGAAAAGGAAGAAGCACCATCCAGAAAGGGATGTAGCATTTAGGGAGGACCCAACCCCCCTTTTCACTTTCATCTCTTTATCACCTGGATCGTACAGGGAGCACCTTAACCCCTTCCTAGCTTCGGATGAAGGTCCGAAAGATTTTGATTCCCTACACTAAGAGCAGGTGCAGTCGGTGGCCAGGTGGTATTTCCTTATCAGTCTCGTTAATCATCTACCTGCCTCTCATTTCTCGACCAGCCGTTTCCTGTTTTGAATCAGAAACCACTGGCAGTGAAAGGCTACAATCCAGAGAATACAGCTTGACACCCAGGGCGGGCTGCTTCGCCTCTTCCCTTGGGCGAACACTCCTCAAAGTGATGTCATCGACTCTGCATTTTTCCGTGAGGAAACTCAGCATGGAAAGCTTGGCGGGGAGGGTTGCTAGCGGGATCCGCAGCCCTTCCTGCTGCTTCTTCATTTCTCTGGCCTGTCCCAGATTTGGCCAAAAGTTGAGAGCTTCAAGGAAACTCCTTAAAGCAATGGGAGAGCTCCACCCTCCACTGAGACCTTCAACCATCCCTCCAACTGGGCGTTCCTGCACTTTGGGACGGTGCCTAGATTAACACCGTGCTGCACCCACGCAGCCTTTCTGATCGGCTTCTCGACACGCTTCGCTGGATCTCTAGTCTTTCCTGTGGGCTGTTTTGCTCGGCTGGCATCGGGGTCACCATGCCAGCCCTTCGGTTCAATGGCCGCTCCCTGATTTCTCCCCTGGGGATCGTTCGGCTGTTGGAGATATTCTTCTCCTGCACTGCTTTCAGCCTGGCAGCAGTCTATCAAAGCTACGGCGGAAACTATGGGGCTTGGTCGATGTTTACGTGGTGTTTCTGCTTCATCGTTTCTGTCTTCGTGGTGACTATGGAGCTGATCAGCCTGAATGCAGCCCTGCCTCTTTCCTGGCAGGACTTCACTTCTGCCTTCTCCATGCTGGCCACTCTGATGATCTTCACAACTTCCATTGTCTACCCAGCAACCTTCCTACCTTCCTGCAAGGGCAACAAGTGTGGTTATGAAATTGGGGCAACTGTCATGTCTTCCCTCTGCTTCATTGCCTATGCAGTAGAAGTAGGACTCACCAGGGCCAAAGCAGGGGAGCTCAGCAACTTCCTGACTACCATCCCTGGCCTCCTGAAGGTATTTGAGGCCTACGTCGCTTGTCTCATCTTCTCCTTGCTGGACAAAATTTCCTATTACAGGGCATTTCCTGGTCTGGAATGGTGTGTGGCTGTCTACAGTATCTGCTTCATTTTGACCATGGTGATCATCATTCTCACCATTGGACGCTGCCTTGGTTCCTTGCCCATCCCTGTGGAGAAGACTCTCGTTGCGTACAACATCTTGGCTGTTCTCATGTATCTTACAGTGGTCGTCGTGTGGCCTTTATACAGCTTTCGGGACAATCCAAGACCTCCGTGTAATAGTCCTCACGATGCCCCCTGTGCCGCTTGGGACAATCAGCTGGGAATTACCTTCCTCTCTTTCTTCAACCTCATTGCCTACATTGTGGACTTCGCCTATTCTTACAAAATGGTTTTTGTGACCACACCGGCATAGACAGCTCTTGTACTCATCTCACCCACCCCAAGCATGTACGTGTGGAAACCATATTGGCTTATGCTGCCAGACATGTTGAGATCTAAGAAGCACAGCTCCAGGAGTAGCAGAAGTTGTAGATATCTGAGGTGATGGCGGTGATGGTACTTCTAATTTTATACTTACGTGATTTAAATTTTGGACTGTTTTATTTTATACTTGCGGTTATGTTGGATGGACCGATTTCATTTCCTAAAGGAGTTGACCTTATCTTCATTCATTACAAGACCTCTGTGAATTACACCCTGGTTAGATGCGAGCCCTTCGGGGGTGATTGATCCAGGGCCTAAAAATGATTTTGGAGAAACCAGCAGGCTGTAGTCTTTCCAGCTTCTGTTTTACATTCTAGTTGTGAGAAGTGAAAAGATTATGAGCAAAGAAGGAAAATCAGGAGTGTGAGGAGGAAGCTGAGTCCTCCACAGAAAGAAGACAACTTTAATCATCGCACTGAGCTGAAGACACAATTTTTTTCTTCAGATGTGTTCTGCAGGAATGTTTTATTTGCCTTTCAACAGAATATCTTGTTCAAGTTAGATGAAATATGAGATATCACTGCAGAATATGGAGTGGGGGTGGGGGATTATATTGCTGTACCAAGCAGTCAGCTAAAACATGGCTTGTTGGATTATGGATTGTTGAATAAACCACAGCTGGCAATAAAAAGGAAAAGGCTCCATCAAGTGGAACTTGGATACATCTAGGTAGTTTTCTTGGTAATTGTGTGAGTTGATTTCTGGTGATGTCCCACCTAGTATTAGCCCCGTCTGGCCCTGTATGAAGACCTGTACTATGGACTACCCCTGATAGGCAGACAGAAAGGTGAAGGTAAGATCTCCCCTGAGTCAAATTCAGCTACTGGTGGCTTTATGAACATGGTCGTGTTTTGTGGGCAACAATATGGAGGTGGATTGCTCTTGTCTTCTTACAGCACGGGTGTCAAACTCACTGTGTCGCATTGATGTCACATGATGTATCGTGACGTTTTTTGCCTTCGCGGAGCTGGGCTGGGCATGGCCTACATGTGATGCATCTGGCCCAGAGAACGCCAGTTTGACACCCTGTCTTACGGGATGGATTTGGGGCATGTTTTTCTTTATAGTTTCCCCTACATCTGTGGGATATCTTCCTAGTCTTCCATCTCTAGGTCAGAAGACTCCAAACCTGGCTACTTTAAGACTTGTGGACTTCAACTCCCTGGGAGTTGCCAAGTTTTGGGACCCTTTATCTAGGTAACGTGCAGGAGTAGATAGATGACTTTGGAGAAGATATGTGGAGCTTGTTAAAACAATATGATCTTTAAACCATTAGTGACATATCAGCTCAGCCTGAGCAAACAAAGTATGAGAAAGAAAGCTTTCTTCAGGAAGGCCAAGGCAGGAAATGAACGCCAGAAGAAATAGTAGAATTCTACTTTATTGAAAGGCCGTGTTTTCTCTTCCCTCACTCTTAGACCAAAGAAAGTAGGGTGGTCTTAAGCCCTTTTCTCAATGTCCCCAGACTGAGCTCATGTTTTACTGAAAGTCTCTGCATAATGTCTCCATAATCTCTTATACTCCTCTACGTTACCAGCCAAGCTTCCTTGAGATCAGCCAAGGTTGCTTAAGTGCAAACATCTGGTGGGTCCAATTCACGAGTCCAATTCAGGCTATAAACTAAGCCAAAGTCCTTGGTTTACAAACTACAGTAGGTGCTGAGTTCATACAACATGCTAAACTGAAATGCAACATGAAATTCACATCATATGCGTTCAGAAGACCAATCTGCCATTCATTAGTACTTATATCTATACTTTATTAAGACTGTAATAAAGATAATAAAACACTCGTAGGCACTTAATACCATCCTGGCCTTGGATGATCTCAACCCCAGCTTGCTAGTAACTTTGTGATAGAACACTGGAAAGTCCCAAGGCAGTAGGTGAAGCTGGGAAGTCACAAAACATCCCAGAAGAAGACAAGGCCAAACCACAGCTGTTGTGTTGTCAAAAAACAACAACATGTGCGTAAAGTTGTCAAGAATGTAGCTTAAATCAAAGGAGACTTACTTTGTATTAGTTGCACTGTTTGTAACTAATTTAGGGTCTCCAATAAACAGCAGGTGAAGGAATTACGCACATTGCCATACATTATGGACCCATATATGCATGTATTATGAAGCGGTGTAATTGTTAAATATTTAGATATTTTCAGTTGTGCTAATAAGCAATAAAGTGGATGGATTTTCAGCCCAGTTGAAAGGTAACAGCCCTTTTCCCAGGCAATCAAACTTGTTTATAGACCAGAGATGTCCAACCTTGGCAACTTGTGGACTTCAACTCTCAATCTGGCTGGGGAATTCTGGGAGTTGAAGTGTTAAAGTCGCCATACAGTAACATATATAGGTGTAACATTCTTCACACAAATTGTTGGGGTGGTGATGAATGGATTGAGTCTGATTTGCTTAACGACTGCATGATTCACGTTACAACTAAAATGATTCACATAACAACCGTGGCCAAAAAAAGGTGATAAAATTGGGTATGGCTCTCTTAACAACCAACTTGCTTAGCAATGGAAATTCTGGTCCCCATTGTCATATGTCAAGGAGTGGTGTCATATGATGACCTAGAGGGGGAGCTGTCGCCTCACAGTCAGGAAGCTGTGAGTTCGATCCTAGGTAAAGGCAAATATTTCTCTGAGCACAATGAGAATATATCTGCTGAACAAAATTCCACATTGGCAACAGGAAGGGCATCCGGCCATTCAAACACTCTGCTAGTTCCATTCAGTTTCCCAGACTTCACCCCGCAAGGGATTATGGGGTCATTAAAAGAAGATGGTTGTCATAAGGGCTACCTGTATGTCATTATTCTTTCTTGACCATCTGACCACTGATTGATTTGGCCCAATATCAACCACTTGGTTTTCTTAGAAAGTACACGATCCTTTATTGCCTGCAATTGTTAAGCCTGTTATACAGGTGACCCTTGCTGCACTGCCCTTTGCAAATGGCATATTTGTGATGTCCAGCGACTGTAATGCTGAAGGGAAGGACTAAAGCATTACACCTCTTCTCAGTTTCACTTGAGAAATGACAAGCTGAGTTGATCAGCAGCCAAGGAATGTCCCTTATTGCAAATACACTGGTGAAATATCCGGGTCTCGTTACAACATCCCAGCAGTCTGGCTACGATGATGGTTTGTGATTGGTTGCAACTCCCATGCCAGCCCAGAACTGTTGCAATTGTAGCTCTCGAATCATGAGTTGTAATGAACAGCATGACCTATTTACGTTAAGGTAGTCCTCATTTAACAGCGGAAGAGGCAACTCCATCGCTAAGCAAGGCAGTTCCATTAAACGTGGTTGCACCAGGTGGATCTGTGCTGTTTTTTCTTTTCCGGACAAGTGGCAGGACTTTCCTTTTTTTGCAGCATTAATTCTGGCAAAATTTTGCTTGGATTCGTCTCCCTATTATCATGATGTACCGTATTATGGTATATGGTCTCCTGCTTGAGCAGGGGGTTGGACTAGACCACCTCCAAGGTCCCTTCCAACTTCTGTGATATCAGTTCTGCTGCAGTCATTAAGCAAAGAAGTCACAGGATCACAACTTTTGGCTTACTGCTGGCTTCTTTCTGGACTTTGCTTGTCCGGAGTCCATGTGGGAAGGGTGCAAATGGCGATCCTGTGACTGTGCAATGCCATCATGGTTATACGTTTGAGTTGTAAAACTACTTTTTCAGCACAGTTGTAAGTTTCAAATAGTTGCTAAACAGGGCACTTGTTTGCAGAGAACTACTTAGAACAGGGGTCGGCAACCTTAAACACACAAAGGCCCTAACCAGAAGCCCCCCCATTCAATTATGGAGCCAACCAGAAGTCCAGTTCCCCCACCATAGAGTCTCCTCCTTGTGTAGTATCTTTTTTTCCCCCTCTGCCTACTTGAAGTCTAATTCCCCCACCATAGAGTCTCTTCTTAGCGCAGTGTCCTTTGTTCCCCTCTGCTGACCAGAAGTCCAGTTCCCCTACCATAGAGTCTCCTCCTCACACAGTATCCCTTTCTCCCCTCTGCCGACTGGAAGTCCAATTCCCCCACCATAGAGTCTTAGCACAGCGTCCTTTTTCCTCTCTCTCCTAACTGAAAGCCCCATCGATTGTGAAGCCAGCCGGTGACAGGGAGTCGCAACAGATGGATGAAAGAGCCACATGCGGCTCCAGAGCCGTGGGTTGCCGACCCCTGACCTAGAACATGGGACTTGTTTTATCAATGGTTGGATAGCAGAGGTAGAAATTAGGGTTTTAAAAAGTATTATTAGGTAAGCAACTGACCCAGACAGTACGCTCTTCACCAGGCATGTATTGTATGTAAAGAGAACATATAAAAAAATAAATGGGGGGGGGGGGGGGAAACTGGGGACAGGTTGTGTCTGAGGTCTCTACCTCTTTTGAGGAAAGGCGGGATTAACTCCCGCTCTCAAACCATCTTAGCGTTCCTGAAGGGAAAGTCAGCATTCTTAAAAGATTGCACCAACCTAAAATGGCAGCTAGAATGAACAAACCATTTACAGGGGGGGGATCAATGGTGGGATTCAATTTATCTTACTACCGGTTCTGTGTGCGTGGCTTGGTGACCCTGGCTTGGTGGGCACGGCAAGGGAAGGATACTGCGAAGTCCCCATTCCCTTCCCATCCCACTAACCTGCTTTCCAGCTCCGTTCTCCTGTGCAGGGCAACCAAAGAAGACCCAGCCGATCAGCTGGGACTCAATGGGAGGCAGAGAATAGGTGGGACTACGGCCAGTCAGAGGCGGGATTGGCCGGTTCTCCGAACGACTCAAAATGTCTGCTACCGGTTCTCCAGAACCCGTCAGAACCAGTTGAATACCACCTCTGCTGGGGACTTGATTGCATCCCAGACGCTTCTCACACCTGGATGGGATTCTCTACACATTCTTGTTACAAGGTGCAAAATAATCTCCATGGTTACCGGTTGTTTGAGACCCGCTTTTTTCTTTTGGTGAACTCAGTGTTCCAGAACGGCACAGGGAAAGGAATCCAATTCCGCAGCATAGACCAAAGGCATCACTTATTCTACATTTCCCTCTCATTTCCCCCCCCCCCCACTGCAAAAATGAAACAGAAGCTGTGCCAGTATTTATTCAGTCTGTTGATGCATTGCAGGAAGGGGTTGGTCTCGCTAGCAATTGATTCCTCTCCTGCCCAGGGAAGGTGTGGCTGTGTGTGTGTGTGTGTGTGTGTGTAAAAAAGAGAGAATGCCTCTTCAGCTTCTGCTAAAGAATTTTGCAATACAGGTCGTCCTCAACTTACAACAGTTCTTTGATGACTCTCCGAAGTTACAACGGCACCGAAAATTGTGGCTTAGGATCTTTTTCACAGTTACGACCTTTGCAGCTTTCTCCGTGATCGTGTGATCCAAGTACAGACGCTTGGCAACGGGTTCACATGTACGACCGCTGCTGTGCCCCCAAAGTCTTGTGTGATCCCCTTTTGCGACCTTCTGACAAGGCAAAGTCAATGGGAAGGCCAGATTCATTTAATAACCAGGTGACTAACTTATGATTCGCTTAACCACCGTGGCAAGAAAGGTCACAAAATGGAGCAAAACTCATTTAACAAATGTCTCGCTTTATCAACAGAGATTTCAGGCTCCTTTGTGGTCGTAAGTCG